GAGATGAAAAGCAGTCAGACATAGAAGAGTAAGAATCAAGAATAGCGAAAAAAGGCAGAATAAGTACAAAGGGAAGATGAGAAGGAGCGACAAAGCCAGATAGTAGAAGAGAAGTAGAGGCCACAATATAGATCAACAGACAAAGCAGCAGATGAATGAAAACGACAGGGACCGCGAGTAATGAGTAAACAAAAAGGAAGAGAAAGAGGACAGGAACTAGAGATTGAATACTAAAGGTACATTAGACAACAGAAGAAACTAAAGGGAGAGGGATTACAAGAATAGGAATATAAGATATACGATACAGACTAGTTAAGAAAAACATAAGGCATTAACAGAAGAGGTAAGGATAGAAAGCTTAGCCAAGGAGCAATCTAAGTAGTGGGAAAAAACAAAAGCAAGTAAGATAAACAAAAGAATACTATAGAGAGAATAAGGTAGCATATAAGAAACAGTAAAACAAGATGAGGAAAGGATAAGAAACTATGAGAGGAAGACAAAAAAGAATACGAAAAGCATCCAGCTGCTCAGTTAAGATCAATGAAGTTCAGAAAGAACAATAGAGATTAAGGGAAAGGAGAGAAGCAAGGACAACACTGATAACGGGAAAGAAGTAGACACTATGAACATGACGAGTAAGAAATGAGAGTCAAAGTAGAAAAAATAATAAGTGACAGAAAGCTAGACGACAGCAGGTATAGGGAGCTGGGATGAAAAGTACATAAAGGAAAGATGAGAAGGAGCGAGACAAACATGCGCAAGAAGCGAGACGGCAGAGCAGGGGAATATAGGCAATCGATATGAAAGCAAAACGAGAAGTAGGTGTAGAAAGGATCACAGGAGGCCAAAAGAGCAGAGAGAGAGAAGAGCAACAAGGCTAGAAACAGATTAGGAGACAATAGTAAGAACACAGGCTATAGAGTGACAAGAGAGCAGATGAGATATATAATTAAGGCAAAAGAAACGGAAAGGCAGGAAAACTAAGATCAGGTTAGAAAACAGAATGAGCCAAGAAAGGAGAAGCAAAAGGTAAAATAAAGAAGAAGTGGCGCAAGCAAGAGGGCGGAAAGAGGGAACTAAGTAGAGACACAAGAATAATTAACAGAAATAGAAGAAGGCGAAAAAAACAAAAACTAAGAAAATAGCATGAGGTAGCCGGAAACAGGAATAAGGAGAGCAGTGAAAGCAAGAAACAAAATGGGGAGCAGGGAGGAAAAGATGGGACGGAACAATGGCGAAGGAAAAAGAAGAGGCTAGAGAGCGAAGGCAAAAAGAAGCAAGAGAAAGAGCATGAAATAGGGACAGGGAAAAAAAAGGCGAGAGAAATGAAGAAGATAGTAATAGTAACAATAGGGAAACAATACATACAAGATCACGCCAACAAGAGGAAATAAGAACAGGCGAGCCCAGCCAGTTACGACAAGAGAGAGAATAGCTAAAAACCGGTAGACACAGAGGAGAGAAGTAAGAAGGAAAGAAGGGGTAGAGCAATACAGCCAAAATGACAGCGAACTAATGAATGACGGATAATGGAGAGAAATGATAGAAATGGAAAATGAGAGAAGGAGGCAAGGAGGAAGTAAAGATAGGATTAAAGAAATGAGATATATATAAGCAAAATGTAGCGTATAAAAAAATAGGGAGAGGGAAAAAGAAGAGAGAAAATTAATGCAACAGGAAGAAAGCAAAGGAGCGTGAGGCAATAAATGACAGAGTCAAGAGAGAGCGATAGGACAGACAAAACAAAGAAACGGAAGACGAAGAGAAATAAAAGGAACACAAAGCGGTCAAAGGGGACAACATAGTTGAGTAAAGTCAAAGAGGTACAAAGGAGAGATGACAACAGGTGAAAGAAAAG